TAACACGACTTTATTTTATATATGTCGGAGCGTCGGGCTCTCGGACGGCACCAGAAGGGTCTCTCATTGAATTCATACTATCTACCTATGTGGGCGTATAGGGAACACGTGCGAGTGGATACTAACACTAATTATAATCACTGATTATAAATGACTAACTTTACTAGACTAGAATGTAAAGACTGGTTCGTAATTTAATCAATATTGTCCACAGTTAAATTTAACAGAAAGATCAAAGTTACTGAATTACTTTAACAAAGCTAGAGACGCCTAGACTTAATAAATTGGGAGCGATTGACGAATTTGTGAACCACGCCCAGTCACCACCACGTCCAAAACCCGAATGTGCAAAGACTCTAACACTGAGTCCCAGAATCTCTACGTTCCAGGGCTCTGTACCTGAAGTTTTTGTAAAGCTATTAATCCATCAATACTGCACTTGAACGGGTCCACAACTACGTCAGGCAACATGGGGATTTATGTCACCTTCGTTCCCAGGCGCGCACTTAACTCTGACCATAAGAGCTTTGGCGTTGCTTAAAATTCCATAGCAATAAATTAGCTAACACATTCAAAGTGTTGTGAGAACTATAACATTAAGTTATTTAATTTATTGCGCATGTCGGAGCGTCGGGCTCTCGGACGGCACCAGAAGGGTCTCTCATTGAATTCATACTATCTACCTATGTGGGCGTATAGGGAACACGTGCGAGTGGATACTAACACTAATTATAATCACTGATTATAAATGACTAACTTTACTAGACTAGAATGTAAAGACTGGTTCGTAATTTAATCAATATTGTCCACAGTTAAATTTAACAGAAAGATCAAAGTTACTGAATTACTTTAACAAAGCTAGAGACGCCTAGACTTAATAAATTGGGAGCGATTGACGAATTTGTGAACCACGCCCAGTCACCACCACGTCCAAAACCCGAATGTGCAAAGACTCTAACACTGAGTCCCAGAATCTCTACGTTCCAGGGCTCTGTACCTGAAGTTTTTGTAAAGCTATTAATCCATCAATACTGCACTTGAACGGGTCCACAACTACGTCAGGCAACATGGGGATTTATGTCACCTTCGTTCCCAGGCGCGCACTTAACTCTGACCATAAGAGCTTTGGCGTTGCTTAAAATTCCATAGCAATAAATTAGCTAACACATTCAAAGTGTTGTGAGAACTATAACATTAAGTTATTTAATTTATTGCGCCCCGCGCGCCGACATATATATAGATTTAGCACCCGTGCGAAGTCAGGGCGGGTCGCTAGTAGTCTATCATTTATAACGATCTGTGTCAAAACTAAATTTCACGCTGGCGAAGCCGTGGACAAAATTTAATAGTTAATAAGTAGAGTTAATAATATAGTCGGTTAAAAAGCTGTTAAGCTGTTTCCAATAAAGATGTTTTAGCTCTGAAAACCCAACTAACTATATTTTAATTCAGTACAATAATGTTGGTGTAATATTATAATGTTCTAACTAAAGTTTCATGGAAATCAGTCCAGTTGATTTTAAGTAAACTCATCTATCCTTCTCAGATTTCGCTAGTAACTAAAATCCATCCATATCTCACGTTTATAATAAACTTTGAACAACAACAAAGTTTGTAAATGCGCTAAAAGGATTCCAATACATTTAAGAGGTTTTCGAAAAGATAAAAACTAGAGATGAAACGGATAGTTGTTTGGCCGGATACCGGATACCGGATATCCGGCCAGCTGCTAGGCCGGATAGCCGGATATCCGGCGGCCGGATAGTTGGCCCATTGTCTCGTTGCATGTCATGACGAGTTTAGCGCCGCACAGGTGCTTCGAACGCGATCAGTGGGTCTATTAGTAGACTAGACTAGTCAAGTAGTCACACTTTTCGAAAATCGAATCCGTCCGAATAGAATGTCAGATTTTGCCACTTGTCTTGGGGGTTGTCAATTCGGCCGATTTCCGTTGCTATCGTGAGTGTGTGATTGAATAGTGAAAATTAAATTAGTTTACTTGTTGCGTAATCTGACTGAACTGCATGCATCATGTCATCAGACCATCAGTGAAAAAAAGATCGCCTTTTTTATTTGGCAATATTTCGTTCGACATTAACAGATATTTACTAATTTATGTACTATCGCCAACAGTGTTAACTGCCCATTGAAAGTCATGTCATCTCGTGCTATCGCAAAGAATCGCCATTTGATTAGAGCGAGAGCAAAAACGGAAATGGATAGTTAACAGTGTGGGTGGGTGTACGTGTATTCGTCATTAGAGTGAATAGCCCAGAAAAAGAAATCAGTTTTTTGAAATGCCTTAATATGGCTTTTTTGTAACTTTTTGGACTTTAAATAAAAGCCGTCATTATTATAAGCCATTTTATTGATATTTACCTCAAAGATTAATGTATTTCATTTTATTAATAGGAAATTGTCGTAGTTTTTTAATATCCGGTATCCGGCCGGATAGTGAGTTACTATCCGGTATCCGGCCGGATAGTAAATTTAGGCCGGATATCCGGCCTACCGGATAGTTACCGGATATCCGTTTCATCTCTAATAAAAACCGTTTTATAGAGTTATTAGCTGCTGTGCCCACGACTTCGTACGCGTGAAAACCCGTTTTGGCAACATTTTTCATTTTTTCTCTGCACCTATTACTCGTAGCGTGATGGTATATAGCCTATAGCCTTCCTCAATAAATGGACTATTCTAACACTGAAAGAATTTTTCAAATCGGACCGGTAGTTCCTGAGATTAGCGCGTTCAAGTAAACAAACAAACAAACTCTTCAGCTTTATAATATTAGTATAGATAGAGTTTCGTATCGGAACTTTATAGTTAACCGCTAACTTAAAAAGCATCGAATTTCAACCTTACTTCGTCGACTTAAGTTATAATGGATTACTTGACTCTGAATTTCTAGACATAACTTTGCATCTGCGTGGTTTGCTTCCCTTTAGCCCAGGTGCAGGTTAGGCTATATTTCAGACAGATCTACCTATCTTGCGGTGGAAGCACTGACTTGTTCGAACTTTGCTCCACTTCGAATAGGTTTCGAATTAGAAGTGTTGGATAGCGGTCGTTAAATTCGACATTTAAGACTAGAAATCATCGTAAGGCAGTAGAAATCGACACTTAAGACGACCATGATTGATGTTAGGGCATTTTAAAACTTCAATAATGAGGGATAAGGTACATAATAAAACCTAGCCCTTAAGGCATCTTTCCAAAAAACAGGCCTCTTTATTTGCAGACCTTATAAAAAACGACCTTCAGACAAACATAAAAAGTCGGAATAAACTTAGCCACCACTGTTTCAGGAAAAAAGTTAGCCAATAAGTAAATCAAAAAAGTGCTGACTGGGCTGAACGAAAGAAATAGACGATAGCTGATTGCTTTGGGTCGCCCCAGAGGTCAATGGATCTTCATGTTCAGCAATGTCTGTGGCCTAATTAATGGTTGCTAATTAACTAAGCAAAGTTATCAAAGTAATGCGTGTCTGGCAAAATGAAAGTGAGTTTTCGTTTTCAACTTCAAAATTTTCCAGCTCGGGGGTTATTATTGATTTTCGAGTAAAGGACAATGACCAAAAGTGGTCCAAATGTCCACCACTAATGAGACCTATATTGGCTTATAGTCCATTAAATAGAGATTAACTTTCAGTATGGGACGAAAAAAAATAATAAGCTGTCAGTAAAAAGTTATGGCTGTATGAAAAATTTTAGTAGTTTACGCGCTAATCTCAGGAACTACTGGTCCGATTTGAAAAATTATTTTTGTTATGGATAGCCCATTTATTAAGGATGGTTTTATTTAGGTTATATAACATCGCACTACAACCAATAGGGGCGGAGTAACGACCACCCGTCCATAATTCCAATATTGTTTTCTTTCTTCTGAGTTTATTTTTTTTCTTTTAGCGAGAATCTAACACGGCACACTAAGGGACATGACATAACATGCATAAATTAATCAAAAATGTGCGATGGATAGAATGATATCAAGAACATTTTTCAGATGAAAAGGTAAAAAACATATTACAAGCTTTTTATTACTTTCACATGTCTGGTGTCTGTCGTCAAATCTTGCAACTTAAAATTGACCCACTTCCCGGTTTCCTATTGAGCTGAAATTTTGCATACATGTGTAAGTCCGATGACAATGCAATATTATGGTACCATTGAGCTGGTCTGATGATGGAGTCGGGAGGTGGCCATAGGAACTCCTAAGCAAAACGGCGGAAACTCATCGAGTTTGGGTTCGTTGGATTTGTCTTTTCGAGCACTTTAGTGTTAGATAACGTCCAGGGTCCTGAGATTAAGATATAACTAAAAAGTGTAAAATAAAATTATAATAAAAATAAACTTTTTTAAAAACAAGCTTTTATTCTGAATTTCGAAAGCTTGTAGCGCAAACAGAGAAAAAGAGGAATAAATTCCATGCGCGATACAAACTTTCGAAATTCAGAATAAAAGCTTGTTTTTAAAAAAGTTTATTTTTATTATTTTTGATTGCGGTTTGGTTATAATGAATCAGTTTTTAGTAGACTATTTTACTACATAGGTCTCGTTAGTGGTGGACATTTGGACCACACTCCATAAATTTTTGGTCATTGTCCTTTTGCTCTTTTCTCTATGATAAACATTTTGTTTTGTTTAGGACGATCATTCTCTTTTCGCTAGGATAAACATTCTTGTTTCGCTAGGACAAACATTATGCATTATCTTTTCTATAGGACGAACATTATCTTTTTTTCTATGACAAACATTTTCTTTTTTCTATGACAAACATTATATTTATATATCTTTTCAATAAGACGAACTTTATCTTTTCTTTAAGACGAACATTCTCTTTTCTCTAGGACGAAATTTCTTTTTTCTCTAGGACGAAATTTCTTTTTTCTCCAGGACGAACAAGCTCTTTTCTAATACTACAAAAAAAAGTTACAATTCCCCTTGCATCTTGCTCTAAGTAGGTAAACTGGAGTGTAGTTTAGTAAAGTAGGTACTTACCGATTACAGTCAAGTTGACCCCAATATTCCTGGTCGGCGAGACCAAGAAGTCGACCCTGCAGTGATACAGCGCCTGATCCAGCTCCGTCAATCTTGAGATGGTGATGGAAGTCGGCTGCCGGTCGAGGGTTGCGGAGATCCTGGTGCCACCTGAACTGGAAGGGTTCGCCCACTGGCTCTGGTTGCGCGCGTCGTAGCTGTAAAGAAGGGACGTTTAAATACTGATATTCATAACATGGTATAAAGTAATAATGTAAACAAATGAGAATATCATTAGAACCATATGATAGTAATCCTTCGCAGAAGTGACAATAAGCGGAATGGTAGAAACCAGTGGCGACCACGAACTGAAAGACGCAGTGAAGGTCTCCCACTCCGTGAACCTACGATATTATACAATATTATATTAATACGATATTATATACAAAGGTGACTGACTGACATAGTGATCTATCAACGCACAGCCCAAACCACTGGACGGATCGGGCTGAAATTTGTAGGTAGATGTTATGACGTAAGCATCCGCTAAGAAAGGATTTTACGAAACTCCACCCCTAAGGGGGTAAAACGGGATCCACGCGTACGAAGTCGCGGGCGGCCGCTAGTAAGATATAAAAGTATGAGCTGGTCAGCTGGTTGATCGTAGGAAAAGATAAGACAGGAAAATATTGCTGCTCTAGTTGACGTTCTGCAAAGTAAAGGGCGTGTTTTGGCGCCTAGATGGAAGCTTGTTTTTGTAATTATTCCGAATTTGCATACGAGTGTTAGATAAGCTAACAAGCTAGTACACGCCCTAGCCGCCTGCGTTCGAGGAAAGGTTCGTGCACGCGCTTTCGGCTTATTTGCGATATCGTGTAAGCTCTTATGCTAAATCGCGCTTATCTGAAGAGCCTTAGCGTATCATAGAGAAGACTTGCCTTCACAACTGCCTAGCGTGAAGAGTAGAGGCAAAATCCTCAATTTGCCATTCGTAAAAGGAGAAGATCGTGCCGATGATGATTATGGTAATAAAGATAGTTCTCTAAAGTTGATTATTTTAGTTGGTTAGTTGGTTGGTTGGTTGGTTGGACGTATGGTCACGTCATTATTATGATAAACAACCGTGTTCTAGTATTGGCTACGATTCTTACGACTTTTGAAATGAAAAAGAAAAACACAGAATTTTCATTTGATAACTTCTTAAAAGAATACATAATGCTTATAATAAGCTGATAACGATTTGTCTCTTTGACAGTATTTGTGATACAAAGGATCGTGTTGTAGCAAAATTATCAATATTGAAGCATAATGTGCCTTTCATTTTCTAAATTTATACCATGTCTTATTTACGGAGACGAGCGCTCATCAGGTGAAAACGATCTCGTATAAGCTACACGAATTTTATCTTCGAAGTAGACATTAAGTATTATTAAAGAAGCGCAATATAAAGGCAAAATGTGTCACTATATTTTTAAAGAGACATAAAACGGTGATAAAGTTTCTTGCGCTGCTTATTCCGAATACGGGACACTTTTTTGTCCCGAAACAGGAGTAATTAAAGGAGATTTCGTTTTCAGTGTAGACTATAGACGATTAAATTAAAAGTTTTTCAGTTCCTACTTTTATAACTATACAAACTTGTTAAAATCAGTCAGGCTAATAAATAGGTAGACTATTTTAAGTAAAATTACCTACGAGCAATATTCATTGTTCAATTTGTAATTGCGTTCTCGAAAGCGGCCTTAACAATTTCAAAGAAGAAGCGAATTAGAGGTAAACAGAGGTTAAAAATCAATCTAAGTAGGTTCCAATTTCTGTGGAAATTCGTTTTCCAGTGAAGCTCGGTCGGTACTGAACTACTGAGGCTTAAGAGCGAAGGGGTGAAGAAACTTTTTGAGTAGCTTATTAAGTGTTAGGCGCAGCTGTTCCGAGTTTCGAACTGCAACGTTTGGTGTTGTACAGCGGTTCCCAATCTGGAGTTAAGTGATCTCTGGGGGCCTTTTTACCCCAGGGTTCAAAAGAAGCGATAGAGTGGTGATCAGCCTGATGGCGCATAGGGCTGAATGACTGAGTCTCATTCATAAAAACCTCCTGCAGTAGGAGCTACGTAAAGTATTACACCCGCCAAATAGGGGTCATTATTGTTCATTGAATTCCATGGCATAGAACCGAACACACCGCCGAATATAAATTCATTTTACTGACCGTCAAGCTGTTATGGACAGGAGTAGGTGAGATCGATAGGGGTTTAGTTCTGTGACTTTCTCGTTCCTCGTTAAATTCTTATATCAATATTTCTATACATCTTTATAGGTTTCCATCAGGACAAGGAGAAAAGTGTAGATAGACCTAGCGCTATAGCGCATTGTCGACTGTCACGTGTCACTATCTGGAAATTTCCCCATCATTATTTTCCCTTTAATAAGTTTTTTTTTATGTGACAGGAGGCAAACGAGCAGATAGATCACCTGATGGTAAGTGATTACCGTCGCCCATAGACACCCGCAGCACAACAGACCCAGGGGCGTTGCAGGTGCGTTGCCGGCCTTTAAGGTGAAGATACGCTCTCCTCTTAAAATCTTGCAGGTCGTATCCGTCCGGAAACACCGTAGATGACAGTCCATTCCACAGTTTGGTTGTGTTAAGTTAACCCGGCGCCAATGACGTGAAAATAATTGCAAAGACGATGACCCCGGGTCATATTGACCCACATTTCATCGATCATTTTTTCAGGAAATTGTACAAGTAAGCTTAATTTTAATTACTGTCTATGTATATAGGGTTCTTTACTGAGCTAATAAACCAAAAATAAAACGAATGCATGAAATAAATATTTTTTTATGAATTTTTAAACAAAACATGAAAAAATCATGTATAGAAACACATTTGAGTCTACATGTTTTGTTTTTGGTAAAGATTTCTAGTATTAATGGGAATCAACAATGTTATATAGTGAAAAAGAGATAAAATCAACTTTTTATATGCAGATACAATGAGATCAGTCTTCTACTTCATCATTCAGAGCCATGGAACTGCTGCAACTGGTGCAGTATGTAATCATATGGTCTGGGCATGTAAATGTGGCATGACGCACTTGCCGGCGTCGTACTAATGCAAGTTCAAGATTATCCGAACACTGAGTCCCCATTATTTGCGTATTTTTCACATTCGTTGCCATTTCTAAGTTCTGGCTATTACAGCCTGAAATTCTTCAATCTCGGAATCCGACTCTTCCAGCAATGCTACATTCTTGCTGGGTCATTTAACAAAGACATTTTGACTAAAACTTAAAAAAGAACAACATAAGCTAGTACTAAACACAAAATAAGCGAATAAAAGTAAGTCACAAAATCACCGCGCCACCGATGACGCCGGGTCATAATGACCCGTTTTAATTTGAAGCCTGTGTATCTCGCTACGCTAGCGGAGTCACAATACGTTAACTAACGGAATGGATTTAGGGAGGTTCTAACTCCAGCTATACGAACGCCCGAACCACAAAATGGACGCAAAAAAAAATTATGATCGTTTGAAAATGCCTCGGGTCAATATGACCCAGCGTCATTGACGCCGGGTTAAGGTGTTAAGCATCTCACGTCGTTTATCTTTTAAGGATCTACCGTTATGAAAGTTTGAGAAGCACTGGGCTATAGTGAGCTAAAATTCCCCAGCTACATGAAGGGTTTTGCTAAAACTTTGGCTGAAGTAGTAAAGATAAATCAGCAGTTTATGGGTCTATCTTGTGGCAATGAGCCGTGTATGTAAATCAGGCAAGTTTTCAAGCATAACTTTGGCAATTTGCTGGTTTCTAAGCTGCCTTAGAACTGCATAAGTTTTATCTAAATAAAGGACGTTTTATGGACATCTCTCCACTTTAAATAAATATCTGAACTTTTTTTATAGTGCAACACCTAGTCCCAAACTTAGAAAAGTTTGTAATGTTGTCACCGGATAAAAAAAATACTTCAGTAAAAAACATCAAATAAAATACAGTGTGATATATGATATGTGATACACTCGACTCGTCAAATATTCCTCTTACCCATATAAAACAAAATACAAATAAATAATAAAATTATGATAATAGTTATTTAATTTTTAGCGTTAAGAGTTGATTCTCAAACTAATTTGAAAATTATAAATAACTTGAAGAAATCGAACTACCTAAGGCGGGAATTGAACCCACGACCTTTCGCTTGCCGGGCGACTGCTCTTCCATCTGAGCTACTTAGACAAACACTGGATGAACTTATCAAAATTTTCAAATTTCTTCAAGTTATTTATAATTTTCAAATATAATTAATTATGCACACAAATATTTGCAGTCTGCGGGGATCGATCCTGTGACTTCTAGCATATGTATAATTGTATAGACGTCTCACAGTCGTCGTTCGAGACAATAGATAGTTGTAACCAACGCCACACAATAGGCTTTACCAATAGGCCTCAGAAATGCATTAGTATGACAAAGGAGTAATTGGAGTTACTAGAGTGCTATTGTAAGACTATCTCATCTCTGCTCTGTGAGATGTATAGATTCTACATTATTAGATATCAAGTTACTCAAAATGGAAACGATTATAGATTACATAATTTCAATGTTAGTTTGTAACTGGAATTCTGTATAACTTCGATCGTTCGTTCGTTTCGTTTCAGTCAAATGACGTCCACTGCTGGAGAAAGGCTTCCCCCAAGGATTTCCACCGGTCCTGCGCTGCCCGCATCGAGGCTCATCCAGCGGCCTTCACCAGATCGTCGGTCCACCTAGTGGGAGGCCTGCCCACGCTACGTCTTCCAGCCCGCGGTCACCACTCGAGAACTTTTCAACATAATATTATAACAATAACATTATAACTTAATATTCAAATATAAGAAGTAGGTAAACCTTTTAAATATTAAATTTACTCAGTGTAGTCTATTACAAGCTTTTATTTTATTAGACTACACCATTTCAACAAAATATCCTCAGCACTATCCTTTGAAGTATAAGGGTATTTCTTATGAAATCTCGAAATTTGAGATTTTATTTAAATTTCTTTTTTTTTACATAAACTTAGATATTTTTTGCAGAGATCAGAAAAGTTACTTTTAGAGATCTGTCCAGGGGTATTGGTCTTCCATATTTATTTATATTACCTATAAAAAATGAGGTTTTAAAAAATTAATAAATGAGGGAATGATTAACGGAGTGAGGGAATGATTTATTATTATATTATAGTAAAAAACAACATGTACAAATGGCATATTGGCATGCTTTAAGCATTGACAAGTATTTCGGGTATTCACTAGTCTAAGTTTTTACTTGAACGTTCGCTTTTTTCTTTAAATATTTTAATCTTTCTTTTTCCCGCAGTTTTTTCAAAGATTCAGTATTATTTTTCATTTTTCTCGCCTTTTTCTATCGTATTCTTTCTTTTTTATTTATTTTTTTGCATCACTCAACTTCTTTTGTTGTGCTATTTTGCTTCCACATACATGCACCTCTTTTAAATTAAATACCATGAAATACAAGTTACATGAATTAAATAAGCCTAGGCGCAGACCATCGATTTTTCGTCGGCCGATAGTTTAGTCGGGCAGTTAATCAGTATGGGCATGTATGGAAGTTCGCACATTACGCCGATTTGATTTGGCCGACTAAATAGTTGAATACGATTCCCAACTGCCTTCCAACTAAAGTATCGTCCAACTATCGGTCGATAGCTTGATCAGACGGCGCTCCTCTACGCGCGCGCAGACTGGCCGATTTTTCGTCGTCCAACTCGGCCGATAGCTTCAGTTTGCTCCTCGTTTTTGGCGGGAAAGGTTATTATTACTAATTAATTGATTTAACTAGTTATTACTCTCGATTTCACTTTTTCATGATCATTTCCCTTTCATCATCATCATTTCAGCCACAGGGAGAGGCCACGTTTCCGAGTCATCACAGGATGAACACGGACAAAACGAAGCTTATGTCGAACGTCCATGTTGCGCTCGATTCTTGAGATTGTTGACAAGTATGTCTACCTCGGACAAACGATTCAGCTAGGTAGGTCCAATTTCGAAAAGAAGGAGGTCAATTTCCTTTTCATGATGTATAAATTTGAGATGATTTTTATTAAACTTTTATCTTTTATGTAACAATCTGAATTTCGAGCAGTTGAAGCCGCAGGCATGAGTTAATTTGGTATAGAAAAAATTATAATACATATTTCTGGGAAACATTCTACGCGACTGATCTCTTCAACAGCTCTCTATCGAATGAAGCAATCGGCCCGATTTTAAATCAACACGCCCGATTCAACTGTTTAGTTGAATCAGTGGGAGCACTGAGAGTCCAACCCGACTAAACTATCGGTCGACTAAAAATCAACGGTGTCTAAACAATCTAAAAAACCGCAGATTACTGGATAAATCATTCCCTCACACGACCGTCATTCCCTCACTGCACTTAGAAGTGAGGGAATGACTGTGAGGGAATGACGAATTTTAACTTAAGCTACAAAAACACCGACACATAAGTTCAATTTGCTTGTTACATTTTTAATATGTATTTTACTCCCAAAAACGCATAAAACCAACAAATTTTAATGATAAATATTAAAATGCTTAATACATTAATGTAACGTGAGGTAATGATCGTCATAAATTTAACTTTTAACAATTTTACGCAAATTATTTTTTTACACGAACTAACCTACTGTTGAGAAGAAATTGCCATCTTGAATCATTTGAGAGTGTATCCATCCAGGTACTAAAAACTTAAAGTTGCGTTCCTAAATATCGTTTTACACATTCAGAAATCGAATATTCGTAATAGGATGAGGGAATGATTTTATTTGGCGGGACACATTTAAAATCGAATCATTGTTTTTATAAATTTGTTGTTGTAAGATGAAAGCTTTTATGGACAATAACAAACATCTTTCTTACATATTTGCATAATTTTATTATTAAAAATATTGATATATTTCAAGTTAATAGGCATTTTAGTAATAATTTTGTACTAAGGGACAAGGTGAGGGAATGATTTTCACGGTAATAAAGTAGCCATATCTTTTTTTTCTTTAGAGGTAATACGTTTTCTTTTTATGCAATAGTGGTATAGACAGCCACTCAGATAAAAAAAAGACTTATGTAATTTAATGCATGTGACTCGGCACTAATGGCTCGGGAATCAAATTTCGCAATTTGATGAGAAATACCCATAAACTATATTACTGTATAATATAACCACAATCGGTTCAGTAGTTTTTGTGTAGGAGTTACAAACAGCTTTTATTCTCTCTCGCTTTTGTAACTACACAAGTACTATTACCCTGACTGATTTGTACCTTGTTTTCATCTCGTTCAATGTACAGACTACAACATCAGAAGCTAAGCACTGTAGCACCCTAAGTGGTTGTAATAGACGCTATTTTAGAATAAAAATGTATAATCTGATCTGCTCTGGACTGTACGTTCAACATTAATACGATTTTCCGAACAAACGATTCCAATACGTTCGGAAATAGCTAGTCATTTCAAAGGCTGACTAATGAACAAAGGAAACGGCGTTTGACATAATGTATGGGATAAACAATAGACCCACTCTATCTATTTTAAGGCACATTGTGAAAGAAATAGGGCTTGCGGGGCGTTTGTGGGGCGTTTACGGTTTCACTTGGTTATGATATGTATCGGCTCATATGTATTGTAGCTCAAAACAGTAAATGAATTCATAAAAATGTCCAGCTACCGGTACTGCGCTTGACTAAGATTTTTGTTGTCTAAAATCATCGATAAGATTTTGTCATGGCGCGCATCCTAGCCCGGCTGGTTTACATATTGCACATTTGAAATTTCTCTATGGTCTGGCTTTAAAAATACACTACCCCAGATACATACTCAGATAAACGCTATAATATCTAATGGTGATTTTTCTGAAGTAAGTTAATATTTAGAAGCTGGTCATCATTACAACACAGAATCCTCGGTGTCAAGTGGTAAACCCACTTACCAAAAGTATTAAAAAACAACCGAAGTTTCTCGGCAAATATTATGATAATTTTTCAAGTGAAACATAAACATTGTTGTATGTTTATCGCAGATTTCAACGGAATAATAATAATCTAAAAATAGTAATTGTTTGAGTAACTGTTTGTTGTTTAGGGATTAACTAAGAGAAGATTAACATAATTAATTATGTATCACAAATGCCGAAAGTGGTAAGTAAGGGAGAAATATGCGAATAACAGGCCTTCCCAACCCGTCTGGCCAAAAAACCAAGGAGTTTGGAGTGTAGGCCAAATCTGTAGTAAATTAGACTGGATCGTCCTCCAGCGGAGACTAACTAAATGATCTATGTGCTTACCATGAGTTTAAGTCAGATCTGCTCGCTATCGACTGTTTAAAAAAAATCCAATAAATAAATAATAAATAATAAATAAATCTTTGGACAATTTCACACAGCGCCAGCTAGCCCCAAAGTAAGCAACTTAATGCTTGTGTTATGGGTGCTAGCTTAACGGATATACTACTTATATACTTTTTTTTTTTAAATACATAAATATTATACATAGTCACACCCAGACCCGTCACAGAAATTAAAATTCATCATTTCAATTTCTGCCCGGCCGGGAATCGAACCCGGGACCTCTCGGCATAGTAGTCCGTTCTGAACCACTACACCAAACGGCCGACATCAATAAATGTATGACAGATTGTATAGCTCCCCTAGCGACTACTTTCAAGAAATAACTTTTTTTACGCACTCGCTAGCAAGCAAGCCTAACACGTAAACTCATGGTAAGTACTGATGATGATCATCATAAATGCGCAAGTGCCAAATTCAGTTTTATTCGACCTACTGAATTTCAGTTATTTGTGGTTATGTAGGCATTCCTGTATTTTATTTATTAGTAGGCACAAGACCGCTTCAGCGGCCCTTTGACTTTCATGTGGGTTTCTATTAGTCTGCGGGGAAATCGCTGCTGGTCATTGTTTTATTTATTTAACACCTTTTTGGCGAGATTGTAAAGTGTAAGTAATGTGCTCTATTTCTGTTCGAGGATAGAGCTGTGAATAGTAATGTATCGCGATAAAATAAGGTTAAATGGGCACGCTTACACTCTTGTACTAAAAGTAGATTTTAACTTATTTAAATACTTAGCAGTTGACGGGGATCGAACTGGTGTCTCTCGAAATGATTAATTTTGCAAACTTGGGCAACAAAGCCATTATCACTCTATTTGTGTGTTCTTGGGAATCGAAACCACCACCAGATCATCATCATCATCATGATCATTTCAGCCATAGGACGTCCACTGCTGAACATAGGCCAATGATTTCCACAATGGCCGGGTGGTGGCGGCATGCATCCACCAGATCCAAGAGAATCTAAATGAGTAAAGACCGACGACCTCACAAAGGTAGTAGGAAGGCGCTGGATGCAGGCCGCTACCAACCAGCCAATATTGCGGACTATGTTATATTGGCTATAGCCACAGGACTGGCTGAAATGATGATGATGATGAAAGATCTCGTTTAGATCTTAATAATTACAATGATTAGGGACATTACTCTCTCATAGCATAAAAATAACATACGAGTATATCAAATAACTTATTCCTGTCTCACTTTACCTTTCGTTGTGGATCCTGCCAAATCACTAGTCACTAATGTTCTTTTGTATTGAATAATTGAAGGAATCAAGCTTCTCACTATCAGATGAGGCAACAAGGATTTATTCCGACGCTCTTTAATTAACTGCCCTTTTTCTCCTGTCCTGAGTAATGTATTATCTAGATTTTTCTTTTAGCTAAACTAAGGGAATGACAAAGAAAAAGTGAACAGAGGATTTTGTTGTTTACAGCGTAGGAACAGGGAAAATTATAATAATAAGTTGATTAGAATACAACAGCCGCAAGGTTTTAAAGCTTTCATTTTTGAAAACTAGATGGCGTTGTCTTCAATTAGATTGTGTTATTATTTTTATTTACATTTTTGACTTACCTAAAAATGGTCGTGTAGCTTTTTCAGCCAAACTAGTAGCATGCTTTTCGGTTGATTCTTTTTCGGTGTTGCAATGGAGTATAGTGACGTAAAATTTTCTCCTTGTTCAGTTCGCAAGTTTCGTTTCTCGGAAACTAGATTGCGATAGTCTTTTGTTGTGTAATAAAATTGCTTATTAGGAGTTAACGATGTAGTAAATTAGACTTACCTAAAAATAGGCGTGTAGCTTTTATACCAAACTAGGAGCATAAGCTCGTCGGGTGATTCTGTTTCGGTGTCGCAATAGAGAGTGACGTTGCCTCCTTCTATTGCCTCCTGGTTCGTCACTGGGCCTGTGAAAAACAACCATATTAATATGTAAAATGTGCATAAATTATTTCTAATTACCTCTACATCCGGAGTTTTAGGTGACCGTCTGTTGATTTCGGATTTCGAAATCTAAATACCAAAGCTAGATTGATTGTTTCCAGTTTTATTTGGACATCGGAGATTTGTATACCTAATAGTGTCTGTTCGTAGGATACGTTGAGCCGTGGCTGGCATACGATATGTACTTATTATGAAGGAAAATACGGACTTTATATCTGCTCCAACGATGGCATATTTACGCGTATATCGCGTATTACGCGTAATGATGAATTTTAATTTCTGCGACGGGTCTGGGTGTGACTATGTATAATATTTATGTATTTAAAAAAAAGTATATAAGTAGTATATCCGGTAAGCTAGCACCCATAACACAAGCATTAAGTTGCTTACTTTGGGGCTAGCTGGCGCTGTGTGAAATTGTCCAAAGATTTATTATTATTATTATATCTCAAGGGCGCGCAAGCATTACAGTGGCGATGTTCTTATTAGGGTATTTACGTGGCATGTGGCCCGTATTCGGGGCTTAAGCGGTGCATTGGCGGGGCATTTGCGGGGCGTTAGCGGGGCGTTGGCGGGGCGTTGGCGGGGCGTATAAAGGGCTCGCGAAACAAATTTAGAGAATTCTTTACTTACCATCAGCGCCCGGTATGAACGTGTGTACGCCGATCACGGTCAGCAACAGGCATATCTGCGCGAGAGTGGCGCGCATTCTATGCCCCATCCATGCCCCCGCGCATCTCGCTCGCCGCGCATATCTCAAGGGCGCGCGAGCATTACAGTGGCGTTGTCCTTATAAGGACATGGGGTGTATCTGTAACAAAAAAAAAGGATTTGGTTAAGATTGTAACAAAAAAGGTTTAATCAATTTTCTTATTGACCTCGTCGGTATATAAATCACAAATTATTGAAGGAATGAGACTATTTCCACCTCTCGTTCCCACCACTGCACCTCCTGTGTAGCCAGGATCTACAGCTTGACCGCCATAAAAACCCAACCAATGAAGGTCAAGTTTGTCCCGGGGGAAAGTTAAACTGTCATTGGACCCGCAACGAAATTAATCAGAAGAACATAGGAGGAGTTCGAAATTAAGATTCGTCTTCCCTCCATTACAAAGCGGATGACAGGTGACAAACAAAGATTTAATAATTTAGATCACTATTGCACTAGTAAAATAAAAATACAGTAAAAAAAGGTAGCCCTTAATAATAATAAAAAAGACAGCCAGTTTTAATAAAAATAATTGACGTAACAAGGATAATGCAACTTCGGAGAGCAAGTTTTAATCCTGCAAGTGGCTCTGTAGACGCTAATAAGCTTGATATCTAAGTATCTTTTAACAACAGAACAAGTAGGAAAAGATTCTTGCATATTAAGAGCGTTGTCACATTTTTCATGCAGAAATCGAGAATTTGGCAGATTTCGAAATGATTTTAGTCATATAATTTATTGTTATAGCTTCTTTTGACTTATATCATCGTAATTATCATACGTTTTTACGGAATGTCTATTGACAAAATCTCGTTCAAATTGGATTTTTGCCTACGAAAACAGCGAATTTCGAAAGCCCGATTTCCAGGTAACTCGCGAAGGCACAATTTTGAACTAATATTACAACAAATTTATTTCTAAGTAAGAAGACAGAATATATTCATTAGAATAAGCATACCCTGAAGAAGAAAGTGTATTGAGAAAAATTTGATGTTTAATTCATTAAAATGCATTTTTATCATGTCTAAGATAGTCAAAATTCGAGAAAATTGCTGCAAGAAAACCGGTCACATCTCATAATCTAAAAGTCATTTGGCAACATAAACTACTTTATACTTTTTCAGTAAGTAACCATTTGTTCGACATCTTGTATACCTACTATAAGAAATATTCAAGTGAGATCACTTATCGATTTATTTTCGTCATCCTTATTTGTATTAAATTTAGTTAAAATACACTAAGGCTGAGATGCACCACCTAACTTCGACCCTAACTGACAATAACCGGTGTTTTATGTTAGACAGATTTTTGACATCCAAAATTTTGATGTAAATGTTAGAGTAAGACGGTGCAACACGGCCTAACAAATGTGTCGTAGACAGTACTTTTTATTTTCTTCATAAATCTTTATTTTCTTTGTAATGCTATCTACAAGCTTTTATTTTCTTTGACATCTGGAGTTGTAAAATCTTGCAACTTAAAATTTACTTACTTTCCGTTTTCCCATTGAGCTGAAATTTTGCACGTCTACACAGGCATGCAAAATTTCGTTTCTTTTCGCACTAAATAATTTAATTTACGTGTTTTCATGCGATGGCCAAGTCAATATATTTATGTAAAACGTTAATGATTTCCTGGACTGGACTTGGTATTACATGGATCTCACAACTTTTTACCGTAGAACAACTCAGTAGCGAGACTTGGTTTTTTGACAAAGTATTGTTTTTGATGGGTTTGTATTACAGAACGCATGTGTACCTAATGGGATAACTGTTTAAAAACACGATTAGATAAATTTTAGCATTATACGACCGTGGTTTATAATAATAAATTCTATAAAATCACAATGATATCAGTATTTACCTCTTTGATTTCCTGACTTGTTTAGATTTGCAAAAACTAAATATTTATTATTAACTTTTAGATAATAATGTGAATGGCGCTTACGATAATATTTACTTACGAGCTCTTTGATGGACACAGATATTATAGATAACGTTTAAAAAATGGCACGCTCGTTTTCATACATTTCATTCTATTTATTTAACCTATCCTATATTATTTTATGTGCGGAAACGTCACAAAATCAGAATAAATTTTAATTTATCCATCCCGCATCATAAAAACTAAAAAGTAAAATTTAAATAGTAAATATTTTTCATAAACAAGCATTTGATGCTGTAAAAAGAATAAAATAAAACATAAATTCTTTCAAACCCATCAACTTATTACTTTACTCAATTTAAAGATTAAAAACTTGTCGCGGGATTTACTAGTGTAAAAATACATTAATTACGTAACTTAATTTTGCTAAAAGTCTAATCTGAGAAAAAATCAAATAGGTAAATTATTGTACATTATTTCTTTATTATTATGTATGATGTACTGTCTTAGGTACGATACAACTACGGATTAAGATCGTTTAGTCGACGCAGCATTGAAATTGTACAGATAAATGCAGTTTGCGCACTCACTACGCGACGTCAAGCAATAAAAACCTAAAATTCGAACGCCAACTTTTTGCTACAACGCTCTTAAATAACATAAAATAGCGAGAAAACATGTAGAGTACCTATGTATGCTTAATTACACGTTACAGCGGCTGCATTCTGCATTAATGATTGTGACTCTACAATGCGAAACAATGATTATTTCAATGTTGCAATTTCTTACAAAACTTGCGCGCAAAAAGCAAATCTAGTATGTAAAATCATCAAACTTCTAAAGCTCGTAACTCAGTTCAGACTGAGTTGAGACGTATACATGTCATAATAAGTTTGGTTTATTACACTATTTTGTAATCAAAAAACAAAGTTTGGTCGATGGCCGCGCGATAAAAAAAAAGACGCCACCTTCCATACTAAATCTGGCATTGTCATTTGGGTGGAGGAGGACTTGGTCTCACTTCTCTCGCTGTCCAGATGGGTGGGAGAGGCCTGATGTTTGCATAATTTGTCTATTAGTCAGTCTCCTTTTTTTGATATCCTTGGGTTTTATGACTTTTGGAAGAGTAAGAGTGGTCCTATTTTTATTAAAGATTATTAATAATTTGTAATAGTCCCGTTACTAATAGTCCTCGTACTAAGCTAAATATGCTTGTATCACGATGAGCTTACCACAATAGTCGAGTGGCGGCGGGGACCGAACCCGCGTTCCTCGGATCACGAGTCGGCCAGTCCGACCCCTTCATCGTTCGGCTATCGTGGATTTGCGAAAACATGTGCATAAAAAAAAAGAAAAGAAATAACGTATTTTTAGATTAGATCCTCAGAACCGCACCTTCAACAGACCATGTGGGCAGGTAGAAATGGCCCAAGATTTAAGGGGCAACGACCGACTAAGAACTCCATGTTTCGATTTCGCATAATGGCCGTGACAAAAAACCGTTTTATTTGATAATAATCATAGGTTAGCATAAAACTAAAACTCAGAACCGGATGTTACACTTTTAAATTCCTAGACTTTGTATTGTATGTTAGTCGCGCGCATATACAATATATGTTAGTCGCGGTATTTATCAAATAATATCTACATCTATAAAAATGAAAGGTCTCTGACTGACTGACTGACACGAAATCTCAGAAACTACTAGTGCTAGGAGTCTAAATTTTGCATGGGGTTTCCTTTTAGAACGCAGGTGCTCACTAAGGGATTTAACAAAATTCTACTTCTAAGGGGGTAAAACCAGAGTAAATACAAATGAGTAGTTCATCTTCATAGAAACGCACCGAGCGCGGTTTGTATGTGCGCGCACGCACGTCGCACACACTGACAAAATTCAGCGCACCTCCAGCACCTCACTGCTAATCCACGCTAAATTTTGTCAGTGTGTGCGTGCGCGCCGATACGTATTGGCGCGCTCACATACAAACCGCGCTCGGGCGTTTTGTATGTAGATGACCTACTCATTTGTATTTACTCTGGTAAAACGGGATCCATGCGTACAAAGTCGCGGGCGGCTGCTAGTCATTAATAAATAAAATTTTAATAATACATATAGAAGACAACTCTTAACGCTTTTCCAGCATTAGTTACACCCATCATGACCCATACCATAGAAAGTATAAATCAGTATAATAGTGAGTATTACCTACTTATTTACATACCCATACTGTTAAATTGCAGGCATAAAAATATTCAATTAAAGAAACATACTTTTCACAGCTGTAGGTACTCACTACAACTTGCGTGACGGTATTTTTAAATGTTAATTAATTTGTATGCAATCAAAATGTTAATTTCACGATTGCCGTGTCGCCCATAAACAATTAGTTTGCCGTAAAATAAAATTTAAAGGAGGTTGAAATAAGGGTTGAAAGTTTTAATGGGGGTTCCCCGACCCAAGACAACCTTCATAATTTCTCACGTTAACGCTATGAAATTGAATTTTGATGTTTTTAAGAAATAAATTGAATTCGCTCGCGGATTTTCTATGGTAGATCTAAGGGCCCGTTCCCACGACAATCACGTATGTGACACATTATGTGTGAACTGACTAAGGGTTTGTTCAGGAGCGTGAATTCGCCGCGAATGTCTTCGCGCGTAGAGTCATACGCGCGTTGGCGAGATACTAGCAGCCAATACATTGCGTCCACAAGACGCGCGTATATTCAACTCGCAGCGAATTCGCCCTCCTAGACAAGGCTATGTGTGTTTGAATTTGAAATACAAATTCGAACGGATCGAATTTTTGCGGGACACTACAACGGAATATTCTTGTGAACGTTAATATTAAAACACATATGCTACTAAACGGGATCCTGCAAAAAACGGGATGTCTCAGAGGGAACAAGCCCTAAGGCAGCTAACTCCGTGGGAAAAAGCTTGTATTAAGTATTACAAAACGTTGATCAACCCACGAAACAGGTTTTATGCATTCAATTAAAATTGGACAGGTCGAAATCTTTTAAATTGAATCGCAAAGGTCATGTCAAGAATGCTGTCGAGTTATCAATGTTTGCGATTCGTGTTCAACACTACAAAAGGTATACAGTTCGTAGATTGCTGATTATGTTAATGTTGATACCTTCTTTGGAAATGCGAGAATATTACAATGGCTTGGATATCAGGATGAAAGTTAAGATCTTGGATTATGCTAAA